TTTTCAAGCGCGTTGATTGGCTGCAGGGTGGAAGTTGTCGAATCTCTAAAAATGTTCTATTTTGTATCCAATTAATACGCTTAGAAAATTACGTACGACAAATAAAATGTTATCCTTAGGCTGATATTTCACATGTAGTATGTGACAAATTTTTTAAGCATGTTAATTGATTACAAATAGAGAAGTTCTCGAGTTTCTAGAAATCCTCTATGTCGTAGCTATAATCAATACCTACGTTCAAAAAATGTACGACAAATTAAATATTACTCTTATTTATTTCATTTGTCATACGACAAATTTTTTAAGCGTATTGATTGGGTTACAAAAATAGAAAATGTCCAGAGACCCGAGAACTTTTCTATCTTGCAACCAAATCAACATGTGCTTGAAAAAAAAAAATTTGTCGCACAACAAACGAAATAGTACCCTTAGATTAGGTTTCACGGTGTGAAGCACCGGCACTATGCGTTCACGCGTCCCAGGAGCGAGTCGCTCGCGTCGCTGCGATCGTCCGCGCCGAGCCGCGGGCCCCTACCCGCCCGCATTCCACCTGTCAGAAGGTGGCATCGCGCACTCCCGCGGGCATGAAAGACGACGAAGGGGAGCGAGGGGGGGGGGGGGGGAAGGCTGTCGCGTTCCCGAAATCCGACCGGATCCGGCGTGCGGCGACTCCGCCAGCCGGCCTCCGAGGCCTCGAGAATCCTCCGTTGTCTCAATATGGCAGTGGCTCGCGGTCGCGCGCGTGCATACGCGCGCGCGCACACATGTATATACAGGACACACGTACGAGCCGCGCGCGCGGCGCATACACGCGAATACGAATGCACTCACCGTTCTAACGGCCATCGTCCGTCGGCCGGTCGCGCCGCATTCTCACCGTGGCTCTCCCGCGGCGGACGAAAACGTTCGGAATCCCCAGAGTCCTTCGGCTGCCGCGCGAATATACACCGCCGCGCGAAATCCGCAGCCGAATTCAGGCCGATCAGGCCGATGCCCACGGCCCACGCTCGGCGCTCCTCGTTCCCCGTTCCTCGGTTCCGCCGCCAACTTCGCTCCGCTCCGCGCGCCCGCCTACCTGCGGCCTGCGTGCCGCCGACGATTGTCGTTTCGTGCCCGGGGGCTCCCTCGGGCACGGCTTGCTGGTGCATCCAAACCAACGTGATCCAAAAACGCGCACTAACTGTCGCGAAACGTGCGCGACTCGGTCGCGAATGGAAATTCGAGAATGCGACTCGCGAAACGACGCGAAAGACGAGACGAACAACCGACCGTTCGAGCCAACGACGCTCGCCACAACATAACTGGACACCGGTTGGTGGGGGAACTGAACCGACCGACGAGGAACGTGGCACGGAAGGGGGAGGGATCTCGCGGGAAGGGGTAGGGCGTGGGACGGAAGGGTAAAGGGATCCGCGAGGGGCCCGCTCTCGGCATGAACGGGTACGAGCGAGACGATCACTGGGAATTGCACTTAAACGACGTCGCGTACACAAGGGGGGTTTCTTGAACAGTATTCCTTTGAATGCCCAAAGTAAATTAAAATTTGTTTGAGACTAACGTTATAAAAATCCTGTTGTTTCCTGTTCTGTTTTTTTTTTTAGAAATTAATGTAAGAATTATAAGGGACACTTTGAAGGATCATGACAAAGTCAAGTGCCTTTTCGACCTCGAAACCCTTTTGAAAAGTCCGACTCTTTTCAGAAAACGATTGTTTTCGAAATTAATGGGCTGACATTCCTTCGTTATGCTTCTCTAGACTCTCCACACGGAAAACAGACGTACCTCAATCTTTTGTCGAAATTTTTACCCGAAAACGATATATGTTACACCGCTCGGATTTTTCTATATTCGAATAATTCTCTTGAAAAGAATTCCTTCGTTTTCGTTCATACATTTGTTAACCAAACTTGAGAGAGCGAGGGGGATGCACGTGTAGCATGCCCTTCTTCGTGTTGTTACCAACTGATTTAGCTGCAGAAGGTGCACGAGTAGATTTGAGAAGAAAACATATGCCACGATGAAGTAAGGATCAACAAAGATTACCGTTTATATGACTTATAATCCGGTTTTATAACTACCGTGTATACTATCCGATCAAAAAGTTTTCTTCTTCTTATCATAGTGATCACTTAAGCCTATTTTATAGCTGCAATGTGTTCCCATATTCACTGCCAGTATTAAAATCTATAGTTTACGTCACGTAAACTATAGTGGAAACACAGCCTATATTTTAAACACTTGAATCAATCTCTTTTGATATATATGTATATACATATACACTAGAAATTGTAGATTGAGTATAAAAAAAGGTCCTATTTAAATAATTATCACCAAAAGGAGAAAAATTTTTGATCGGATAGTACACGTTAGTTATTAAGTTGGATTACAAGCCGCCGTGTAAACGTAGTCAAAGTATAAACACGTTGTAAGAGAGTGAAAATAACGTGCCGCGTCTGTTTCGGATTATAGCCAGCCGGCTGAGATCGGCTGAAGCTTTCCTGGGCATCTGGGCTAAGTAGTTGCGCGCGATGCGGCGCCGCGCAATTCCCCTCATTTGCGTTTACAATGCGTGATCCTTTTCGTTCGTGGCGCGAATAACACGCCAGGAGCAGCAAAACGCAATTAAGAAGTTCCGAGAAACGGCGGGGCGGGGCGGGGCGTTAATAGCGGCGTCAGCGTGCAACTGCCATTGTTGCGCCTTTTGTTCTCGCAGAGCGCGATTCACGTTGTTTTTCTACTTCAACCGTCTTTTACGTAACGTCTGAATTTCCGAGGCGCCGATCGCGTTCGCGCTCTGCGGAGTTCCTGGTACGATTTTTTGAAAGAGCATCGGACGATTGACGCTCGAAACGCGAGCAAAAACGAGTAGGTTTCGGCGATTTTGCGCTTCTCGCGTGGAAAAGTATAATTTGTAAAAAATTAACGGTAAATTGAAAACGTAAAATCCGAGTCATTCGACAGAAAAAGGAAAGCACATTCGACCGATATTTTTTGTATTAACGTCGATTTCTCGGTTCTTATTGAAATGCAAATGCACAAGTTACTTTGAGTTTCTCTAAGTTTCGCCTGTATTAGCTAGAACTAATTAACTTTATAATTATATAGAGTAATTATAACTTTATAATTATATAGTTATAATTATTTTTCACAATCCCTGATTCTCTTGGCTCGCAATTTTGAAATTGGCGGAAGGAGAACACGATGCGATCAAGATCTGTTCTGGAGAACTTGGACAATTTAGCTCGCAATTGAAGTGTTGCGAGCAAATTAATGTAAATAATTGAAATACAATAATTACACAATTAGAGAAAAACGTCATTTTACAGTCAGGACTCGATCTTGGTAGCCTGATAAAATTATTCGTGCGAATTTTATGTACATTTCTTTGGCTTATCATAAAATGGCATTTTTTAAATTTCTAATTGATTGTATATCATATCGGTCGTGTTCCACAATAATTACAGTTGCGTTTGACTCACGTTCGACGTTAATCTCGTTAACCGCATCAGCTCTCTCACGGGTGACAATGACCGTCCTCGGAAGTTGGAATCCTTGCCAATCCGCGGCGATCTGAAAATAACAAATGGCAATTAGTCACGCACTTCTCGTTTTCGCTCGAAATAGCGGCTCTTTTTAGGAATCGTATAAGCCAACGTGACGTAAACTTGCAGCTAAAGTGGGACGCCAAAGAGAGCTAACGCGTTCTAACCTTTATCACGCGGCAATCAAATTTTCGTGGTCGTGAAGTGCCATGTTGCTAGCGCACGATTTCGAACGTTTCACGCGAATGCGTCGCGCGATCGTAGAATAAGAGGAAATTAACAGAAGAGACGTGCCGAGAAACGCGATCGACGAACGAAGCAGTCTCGTTTCTTTTTCGGATATTCCAGTGTCGAATGGACGATGGAGAATCGTCACGCAGAAACTTTCGGAAACTCGTCTCAATCGTTACGTTGTTTGAACGGAGGAACGACGGAACTGTGGAACGGCGCTATATATAGCTGCCATGTTGACGTGCTCGGTCTTGAATATACACTCTTATTTGCAACTAAGAAAAAATTTACAACGCGCAATTTTATATACTTTTTTGAGAAAACTAGAAATCACAGACGCGCGCGCTTTTTAGCCTTAACATTACGCTATTTCTCTTCATACACACAACTGTCAAAATATAGGCATGATGCTCACGAAGTATATAAGCTATATAAGCACAGTGCATGAGAGAACCAATCGCATCGCAGAAAAGTGGCAACAATTCAATCTCTTTTACATGCCTTCTTTACGAGCGGAACTATGTGTTTTGTTATATGTTAATTATATCAATTGTCTTATTTTGTTATTTTATACTGTTTATACACGAAAGTATA